ATGTCTTCCACTTCCAATGACCATGTTTCGCTCATAACGATGAAAGATGACGGAGCGGACAGCTGAGCAGTATACACGCCCTTTGGTAGATAGCCAGTCAGATATCCCGTCTACTAGGCCAGGGTCGGCGTAAACTGGCATATGCGAAACTAGCCCTCTGTAACCGTACTGAAATTTCGTCAGAGATCAACCCGTTGGCACTGGCTGATGCAACTTCCCAAATAAGTGAAGTGATCAACGTGCTCTACCACTTCACTCCCTTTTTTTAAACCAGGAGTCACCGTAGTTCAGTCCTGCAACATCATCTTGCATTTGCGTCGGCGGAACAGTCGTTAGGAGTATCGCCGGCCATGCACATGGCCCGAGGTTCGATCCCCTGCTGACGCACACCTAATATCTACTGTCGGCCGAAAATTCCAAACATGTACCTAAAAAACAGTGTGGAACCAAGCTATAATCAAAAATAAAACAATAAATTTGGCGGGAGCGAATCGCATGCCAAAAATTCGTAGATGACAGCTCAAGGTGCTCAGAGGACACTGCATTTTGTCAGTGTCCTCACCTATAAGGACTATATCGTCTGCATATTCCAAGTCAACGAGAATATTCCCTGGTAGAAAGTCAATCCCTGAGTCACTGAAGTTACCTAGGGTTAAGTCCATTAGTACATCTATGATGAAATTGAATAGAAACGGGGATAATGGGCATCCTTGACGGACACCACTAGTCGTCACCACTTCAGATGACAACTCGCCATAAGCCCTCAGCTGGCTGGCTGCATGAGTTCGAGTAGAGTGCCTTAATCAGTGCAATGTATTTTCTCGGAATTCCCTTTACAGCCAAGCATCGCCAGAGTACCTCTCGATCGACAGAATCGAATGCCACCTTTAGGTCAAGAAATATAACGATTGTTGGACGCCCGTAAGAATGGCTTTGTTCTAGAATCTGTCGAAGGGTGAAGCGAGATATGATCAATACACCTTCTTCCTGGTCTAAAGCCTTCCTGGCTCTCTCGTGTTTGTGCCTCCCGAGCACCACTCAGTCTGCGCAATATTATTGAGCCTAGGACTTTAGATACTATATTAGTCAAGCTAGTCCCTCTGTGATTATAACAGGAAGACTTGTCTCTCTTCTTGTATATCGGGATAATCAGTGACTTACACCAACCCGATGGGACTTTCTCTGATTCCCAGACGCTGCCTAGTAACTCAGTTGATACAGACAGTAAACTGTCTGCACCGTACTTAAATACCTCTGGAGTCATTTCCATCAGGTCCCGCTGCTTTGCCTAGTTTCAGATTGGTGACAGCTTTAGTAACCTCAGTTAGGGATGGAGGACCTGTGTCTATATCCCATTCAGGGAGGTGTTGGATGTTCGGCAAGTCTTCAGTGGCTGTAGGCCAGTTGAACTGCTCCTCATAGTGCTCTTTCCAGCATTCCAGTAGTCTGTCCTGGGAGCTAATTATGTTGCCATTTTTCTCCGAGATTGTTTCGCTTATAATTTGACCTTTACCACATGTTTCCTTGATAAGCCTTAGTAGTTGTCCGGTGTTGCCAATCGCCGACGCCTTTTCCATCTCCTTCGCTTTTTTCGCCCACCACTGTTCACGGTCGTGGTGAAGACTTCTTGTTAGTTTTCGTTTCAGTACCTTTCGCTCCTCATCATAATCGGAGCTCGCAGTCATCAGTCTTTTTCCGACAATCAGTTTGGATGAAGCGGTAGAGATCTAATGGCTCTTACTAACTTTTTGTTTTAGCTTATTAACAGCTTTCCCAGCTGTGTCTACAGCTAACTGTATGTTGTGCCAGGCTACCTCAGTGGAAGTCCTGCTGTCGACCTCAGAAACTCGTTTCGCTATTTCTTCCTTAAATAGGGGCTTAGTGTCTCGATCTAGTTGGGGACGTAACCGTTTCGCTGCCATCAATTTCTTATGTCCATTTAGTCGTAAGCATAAACGTGTGCGAACCAGAGCGTGATCGGAGTCTACGCACGTGTTCCAGAAGGAGCGACAGTCTCCTTCGCCAACGATACCCTTTGGCTATGTGGTCTATCTCAGTTGATTTTGTGACGGCGGCCGCCAGGTTACACAACGTCTCTCTTTGTGCCTAAAGTTAGTGATGACTAGAAAAAGATGATTGTCTGAGCGAAATTGTAGAAGATCACCGTTGTCTGTTCGTCGGCAGGGAACTCCATACGTAATACCTACATACTTCTCAGTCTGGCACAACTTCCCTACTTCGGCATTGAAGTCGCCTGCTAAAACAACTATATCTGAAAGCTTTGCTTTTTGCAGCAAATTAGACAGTTTCACGTAGAAGTTATCCTTTTGTTCATCTATATTGCAGTCTGTTGGGATGGAAGCGGAGACTACAAAAAGGCAACGACGGGTAGCGGAGTCTCTCCTTCTTTTAACGGACCGCACACATACGACTATCTACTAGGATCCAGTCAAGAAGTGATTTTTCCGCCCTAACACTCAGTGCTACCCCTACACCTGCGAGTCCTCGCGAGGTAGCTGAGGGGTCCCTTGACACCCTTAAGGGGAATTTCGAAGATTCACCTTGTTGACCGGGTGAGGTCAAGTGAATGACCACACTCGGGTCCTGTATGCCTTTCTCCGAAACACAATATATATCCATGGCTCGAGATGCCAGAGTTCTTGCTAGTGATGCTTGTTGTCCGATTTGGCAGAGGGTCCTGAGGTTAAATGCTCCTATATGCAGTTGGTAACGTGGCTTTAAGAGACTATCGAGGGAGTTTCTATGGCCATTATTGTTGTTGGTGGTCACAGAGTGAAGTGAAGATGACTCGTTAGCCTGCAGAATAGTACTAAATGTAGTAGAGAAGAAAGAAGATGTGAGTGGAGGGGAATGATGCTCAGGAAGGCTTCGTGTGCTTTTGGAAGTGTGTGGGTGGTTGTCACTTCCCGGTTGCCCACACCGTGCAAGCTGATTAATTCTTCGGGTACCTGAAGCAGAGTGTTGCGTGACCACAGAGCCCAGGGGACGACCGCTTGAAGCCAATCACACGCGGCCTGTTTTTGTTTGTTCTTTTTTATTCGGTGTGTCTCAGTATTTATTTTTGATTACAGCTTGATACCACACCGTATTTTTCGTACAAGTATGGAATTTTCAGCATGGATATCGGTAGCCTAAATTTTGCAGGCCGACCATAGGTATCAAATGTGCGTCGGCAGGGGATCGAACCTCGAACCATGTGCATGGTCGGCGAGAGTCCTAACCACTGTTCCACCGACACACGCATGTGACACGGCAGCAAGGACCGTGGTCGGAGTTAATCCGGGCCCCCACCGATCCGTCATGATAGTTTGTGACTTGGAATGGGTAGCTGGCTTCTGTCTTACTACTAACCAAACAACCTTTCTGGCATGGTGGGACCTCAAGCGACATAAGTATCAGCCAGTATAGCTGAGTACATACACAAGGTGACATGAATTTCACCAGATGGACACACCGAAAACCAGATAGACTTCATTTCAATCTTAAGAAAGTGGAGACGGAGCCTACTGGACACAAGGTCGGGGAGAGGAGCAGATGTGGGCTCAGACCATTATCGAGTACAAAGAACTTTCAAGATGAAGCTAAAAGCCTTGAGGATAGCTGAGGATAGGCCACAATGCAAGTTCAACACTCAATTACTGAAGGACACTTTCACTATCAGAGCGAAGCAGGAAACACTACGTGACATCACGGAAAAATCATGCGTGGAAGACCACTGGAACTCTCTGAAGGTGTTTTTCAACGAAACGTGTTCAACGGTTTTAGGAAAAAAGAAAAGGCAAGACAGGGAATGGCCCTCAACGGACACTTGGAAGCCAATAGAGGAGAGGAGAATGGTGAAAGAGAAAATGATTCAATGCAAAGACGTACAAGAGAAGGAGATGCTAAATTCAACTTACACAGCAATGGACAAAGAAGTGAAGAGGAGTACTATATATATATATATATATATATATATATATATATATATATATATATATACTTTTCACATTTCCAAGTGGAACATATGACCTCAAACTAGTGACTTGAAGTTTTTGTAGCAGTGTATATTTTACAGGATGAATTTGCTAGCCTCATGCCAAACCTTTCCTGTTCACCAGCATTGCTTCTGGCTCAGCGAGGTAAAGGAGTACATCGGCCGGATATCGAACCCCGGACCATTAGCATGGCTGGAGTGCGTCCTAGGAAGGAAAAAAGACAATTCTACGACAATCTGGTCACTGAAGCTGAGAAGGCAGCAGGCAAAAAAGACCTGAGGACATTATATCAGATAACCAAGTCTCTGTCCGGGAAGAGATCAACACAAGTGAAACCTATAAAAGACAGCCAAGGGAACCCACTTACCAAGGAAAAAAGACAGATTAAACAATGGGTGGAACCAGGCCGAAAGGGTAGCGGCGAGTGGGTCGTCAGCGCAAGTGTGACATAGAGAAGATAGTGTGAAGAGGAGTTGAAACAGTATGGACTAACTAGCATGGATGCAGGTGAAAAGTACAGCAGAAGGCGTGCAGTTGAAGCCCTGTGTTCCACTAGGAGCCCAAGGGAGCAATAATAATAATACTAAGACATCTCAAATGCACTATACATATATACATAGAATCCAACATGGTGAGTTATGACTAGTGCTAACCGACTATTGGTTCCGAAGTAGAAATGAATGATGACTTGTTCAGTTTCCTCTTACTTATGTAGACGTGCGTCAGTGGTTGTTCAACGGTAGAATGCTAGTTTGGCCGAGGGACTCCGTCAAAAATCACTTAACTGGTAGGAAGCCCGGTGAAGAGGATAGAGTTTGAGCGTGAAGCTAGCAGCTCCACGCCGTAGAAACAACTCTACAACTAATTCTGGGACGTTGAAGCCCAGTCGAAACCCAAAGAGATGCAAAAAATGTGACATATTTAGGCGATATAAGGAAACATTTATATAGATAAGTACAGTGAAAATCATATACAACCAGAGAAAGAAGCACCATAATTATATTATGCATAGAATTTCTTATTTTGTTTATTTTTCTTTGCTTTCTTAGATGCCTGAATCTTGGCATATTTTGTCTTGATTGGTTGTTCATAACGAACTGCCTCATTGTCGTCTTCATCGTCGCTCATTTCATCGTTATGCATATTATTATCATCATTATCGTTCATCATCTCATCATTATCCTTATTTGTAAATGTAACACCCCATCCAATTGATTTGCTAAAACGATGTGTCTCTTCCAGCTCAGCTTGCTCCTTCTTCTGCTGTTGATTCAGCTTTGCTATGCATTTCCACGTTTTACGTGCAGCTGCTATTCCAGCTTCACCAGATGTTTTCAACTTGAAGTTTGCCGGAGTTTTAGGCAATTTACGCTTTGACGGCTGTTTTTCTACAGCTGATGAGTCATTATCACCGTCACTATCAGAGGATGATGATGATGAGCGCTTTCCATTATTGTCACTATCGTCATCACTTTCAGCATCATCACTGTTATCTGAATTAGCATACTCTTGAAGTATCTCTTCATCCATTGGTAAGTCTAAATTAGGGAGATCATCATTGTCGACAGGTTTTTGACTTGCTATCTGTGCTCTAATCGTCTGAACAATCAGAAAAGAAAAAAAAACAAATAGAAAATGGAATAGAAATGTATGTTTGGTGAGGAAAAGATACTGAATACCATGTTGAATACATTTTTTGATTTAGTTGTGTTCTCTGAGCTAGATGGATAGTTAATTTGCGAAACTTCTATTTTCTTACTAGGCAACATCTTTAGCGCATACTTCAGTTTGATGAGGTGAGCTTTTAGATTTCTCCACGAGTTTACTATTGGTCATCTCTCCTGGTGACCTTGAGCGTGATTGGTTGTTTTTATGTTTTCATACATGAGAAAATCAACAATAGCGTCCCGCAGGAGTGCGACCGCTCTAGTGACCTTGAACGCATGCTAGTTGTTGGCTGACAGCACCTGCCATTTTGATAGCTGAAATATCAACGCTATTTACGAATCAAGCAGCAAATTTCACTCGGATCACATTTGTAAGTACTGACTGGACAATGCATTAATAGCTCGTTAGGGTTAAGGGGGGTTAGGACCAGGGTCATAATTAGGAATAGGGTTAGGTATACGGTTAGGATAAGGGTTGTAATTAGGATTCAGATTAAGGTTAGTGTCAGTGTTAAGTTTGGGGCTAGGGTCAAGATTAAGGTTAGGGTTACTATTAGGGATAGTTGATGTCATTTATTTTAATTTGTTTTCTTATCCACATTTTTCTGGTAAGTAGTCGCCGACCCTCTTACTGGAAACCATAGTAACTCAACCGAAGGCTTTTGGGGAAGATTGCACAACAAGATGAGAAAGATAAACGATTCACAAAAACATCTGATCTTCAGTCACCTCGGTGAATGCATGTACAGAAACTAGTATAACTTGGCAACAGATACCCCTCATTATAGCGGGAACGTAATTTTAAGTCATGTCAGAAAAGGATAATCTGTTTAATGTGTTTTTTCACGCATTTTATTGTAAATATACGTCATTTTTGTGCAAAAGTCACTTATTTTTATGATTGGTCGGCTGGAGGTCAGTCGTCCGTTCGCATACCTCTGGACGCTATTGTTGAACTTTGCCTTCAAACCCTCTAGGCTGCTTCTATTGGAACTGACTGTTTCCTTGACTTGAACTTTGACCCTTTGTGTGAGGTTTCCTTCTTATTGATTGGTAAATTTTGTCTATCTTGATGTGTCTATTGATTGACGATTCACTAGAATACTAAGCTTCTAAAAATTCTCTAGCATTTTAGGTGTTTACTCTGTCTAATACTTGAACGTTATCCCGGGAGTGATACAGTTGGTCGAAACGGGATATTCAAGAACCTTTATATATATTGTAAATACACTTAATTTTATGCCACTTTTTAACTGAAACAATCTGATTGGTTGTTTCAAGGTCGTCTGTAGTTGGTGTCTTTCTTTAATGTTACCCTATACCAATAAATTCAAAATTAATTTACAGCAAGAAACGCAGCAAAAGAAGGAAAATTTACCTTTGAAGCTCGAGACCAAGCTTGATCAGCTAACCGCCGACGGACAAGTATACTATCACGACCGTTTAAATCAGGAACTGGAATTGGCCAACGAGGTATTCCAGGAGAAGAGCTACTGACTTCAGCCTTAGATTTTGGTAGATATGGTAATAGAGATGCCTCTAATTCTAGAAACACGGGTGCTACATCACGTGTGACTATGGTTAGAGCTATTCCTTTCTGACCAGCACGTGCAGTTCTACCAACACGATGTCTATACGTTTTCTCAGATAATGGTACATTGTAGTTGATAACAAATTCCACATTAGGAATGTCTAGTCCCCTGAAAATTGAAACACAGAGGGGGAAAATAATTGTCAGGATAGTTAGAAATGGAGAATGGTTGAGGATCTATGATTGATTTATTGATATGGGTAGAATCAACTTGCATAAATCAATCAAAAATATATATCAGCTACTCTTGTGGCACAAAATATTACTTAACAGACATATATTTTCATTACTTGGTGGTAACGTAAAGAGTTTTTCTGGAGAAGGGATAATTATGCCTACTTGGTTAATCAAACCTAGTTAAGTCGTAGTTGGTTGCTGGAGGTGTTCGAACCTGTATTTTATCGGTTAAAAATTGAGCATTTAAATCGATAAGCCACAGCCTCGGGTATGTGACTCTTTTGGATGAAAACTCGACAACTTACAAGCGAAAACCAATAAACTGACAGAAGAAGCTAGAAACGAAAACAGGACTTCAAGTGAACATACAGAAGACGGATATGATGAAAATAACCAAACACCACCACCAACAACAACAACAGCAAGCATCAGTCACTGTCAGCAAGAAAAAATTGAAGGAGACCACATCCTTCACTCATTTAAGAAGCACACTTTCAACTGCGTGAGACGACACGGATAAAGATATACAAAACCAGAATCGGAAGGGCAAGACAGACAGACCTACATCACACGGAAATCAGTTTGGAAATTTTCTGCACTGACTTAGCCAGCACGAAGAACAAAATTCAGATTTTCAATATCAATGTAAAGTCAGTCTATTCACTTCTTCTATATGGATCAGAAACTTGGCAAGGATGTCACAGTAAGCATTTCCAACATGCTACTTCAAACGTTCACCACCAACAGCTGCCTCTCTCTGGATTCATACTGAGGATAAGATTTTTTTATTTTTTATTTTTGATTACAGCTTGATTCCACACCGTATTTTTTGGTACAGGTATGGAATTTTCAGCGTGGATATCGGTAGCCCAAAATTCACAGGCCGACCATAGATATCAGGTGTGCGTCGGCGAGGGCTCGGACCCGGGACCATGTGCATGGTCGGCGCGAGTCCTAACCACTGTGCCACCGACGCTCGGAAAGAATTAGAAACAAGAGACTATGGAAACGAACCAATTAAGAACCTATTGATCAATAAGTATGTGTAGAAGAAAGTTGAGATGAATTGGACACAGTCAAAGCAGACTATCCAATGACACCGCGCGTCAGGCCATTCCTCGAGTGGAACCCGAATATGACATAGTGAAGATCATGCGAGGAGATGAGAGATTATGGTGCTAGCTAAAGAACGACTGCAGAGAACAGAACAAAGTGAAGGTGTTCCACTTGAAACCCAACGAAACAATAATAATATATGTAAGTAAACATGGTTTTGAAAGTAATTGTAATAAGAAATGCCACATTAGATGTATTAAACCATAGTACAAAAAAAATTTAAAAAACAGATATAACTTAAAATGACGGATAAAGCTGTGATTATCTTGTCCCTCGATGGCTTAATGATAGAATACTCGCCAACCAAACAAACACTTGGTTTGGGATTCAATTCTCCGCCGACGCTCTCCCAAAAACCTCACAGTTTACTCGCCGGTAGTAAGTCTAGGGGAAAGAGAGAAGGTTGGAGTGAGGCTAGCAACCTAACCCCATAAGAAGAACAACGCTAGCACCACTACTGAGAGACATATGTTCCACTAGAAAACTAAAGGAAATAAAAGGAAATCTTCGAATTCTTCACAGAAAGAGATCAGTAAGTGCACACATTTTTCTAAAATACACACTTTCAGGGATCAGCTCTCGACAAACATTGTACATTTGTATGTAGTCAGCAATGAACCACACTTATTGTGTATTACCTGAGTGCAAAAGCCTCGGAGCAGGGTGAGAACCAAAGACCTGACAGTTGGAAGTTGACCACCCAGACTAATGAGATACATTACCAGGAGAGGAAAAAAGTTCAGGAAGCTTAGCAAAATATTACTTTCAGATGTAGGAAACATGCATGAGGACAAAAACAATCAAGTGTACCTAGACTGGACACTGGTTAGTCATTAGTGTGGTGTGGCTAGTCACTTCTTTGGTGCAGACTGAATTCTATAACAGTCAAGTTTGCCATGTCGCCAAAATGTTGGGTGGCTCGACATCAGGGCACACGCTGAATTGTTGATAATAGATGGTAGGAGGCAATCTAGAGGAAGCCCCATCTGACCTAGCTAGGTTTCGTGCTTCTTGGCACTCACCAGTCATCAAAGGTGTATGTACAAGCTTGAACGAGCTCATGTCCCTCCTGAGATTATAACTCAGGTCACCACGTAATGCTATAGTTAGACCGAATAGCTCAGTGGTAACGTCTCTGACTGCAAAACTGGGTGTCCCGAGTTCGAATCTGATACCGGATATTAGTTGTTTCAAGGTTGCAGATACGCCTTACTAACTGATGAATGGCAACATGCACAAATCCTAGGTCAGGCGACGCTTCCTCCCTATTGTTTCTAACCATCTGATAAATGTAAGCGCCGTTCGATACCCAAACCATTCTGCTTTAGAATGACAAAGACTACTACACATTTTCACTAAGAATCACTCAGTTTTCAATTATCATTTGTGCTTCCCCCGCATATTGACCGTGTAAAAACACTACTTTGTACACAAACACACACAAATGACAAGTATCTTATTTTAATTTCATGTCTGAAAGTTACCACCGACATGAAAAGATCACCAGACAGTGACCAATCTGTCTGTCTGTTTTCAACATAGAACTTTGCACCGATGTGCACCAGTTCAAGTCGCCACACCCCCCACATGTAGCACACAAAGCAAGAGGAGAAAGTAGAAGAAATGAATAATAGAGACAGAAAACAGAGGTGTGAGACAAAGGAAGAGTAATAACGAAGAACAAAACAGTTTCATTGGAAATCATAAGTCACAAGGTGTGAATGCATCTCAGCCAGCCATTGAGAACGACGATTTTGAGCCATATCACCAATTGTCTCCAGCCTCCATTGGTTTTTACCGTCCCGAGCCCCAATCAAGAAGTCTACACCTTCCTACGTGGCCTAAACTAACTGTTGTGGATTTCATTGACTGGCAACATGTTTTGGTTTGACCACCACTATGTCAGCTAACATTACTCGCTGAGGAAGGCGGCAACTAAGCATACGTAACACATGTCTTACCAATCTCAGTCAATGTAGCTTCACAGTCTCGTCAATTGATTTCCCTTCGACTCACCTAGTACTCAACGCCTAACCTCAGTGACCAATGTTATTTGTAGTGTTAATTGAATTCTCTCTGTCAAGTGTTCGCAGTGGAGCCACCAGCAGATTGGATGACTCGTGCATCATGAATCTCCGACCTACGCTTCATTGCTCTGAACCACAGACATTGAAAGTGAAGGGTATGAAAAAAGACTAGCTGTCTTTGATCATACATATTTACATCCAAGCACTTGTGTTAAACAGTTTAATATCACGAGAAATATTGAGGTTGGGCGTTGAATATTAAGTAAGAAAAAGAAGTCAATAGATGAGATTATAAAGCTACATCGATTAAGATGGCTCAGTCATGTGTTCCGCATGTCAAGTTACCGTCTTCAATGTTAACTGACATTAGGATTAGGTTGGAAAAAAGTCAGCGGTGATTAGAACAATCCATAAAGTCTTTGATTCTCGCTTTGACCATGTAGGTGGAGGTATAGACTAAGAGGTTGGGGTTGTCAGGATACTACGAACCAAAGGCTGGAGACTACTGGTTGATATGGTTGGAGCCCATTTTCAAAATGGGGCAGATGTATTCACTCTTTATGCAATCTCACACACAGCCATTCAGTTCTCATGTTTCTTCATGTTACTGTTCTTTGTTTCTTGCCCACATTTCTGTTGATAACAGTTTTTTTAAACCACTTTAAATCAATCACTATTATAGTTCAACAAATTACGATTGAGCGAGATTCAGGTTTATCGATAACATGTTAACATCTCTGACTGCAGCACCGAATAACATGAGGTCGAATCCCATATGAGTGAGAGAAAAAACAGTCGCATCACATAAACTCAGAGATATTACAACCAGATATCAATTTCAGTATTTTCCATTTTAACAAAATAATAATGATGATGATGTTGAAGATGCCCAACCAACGACGACAACAATAAAAACAACAACAAGCACCAATCACGATCAACGGGAGCATAAGCAGTGGGAGTCACTTCTATCATTTATCTAGACAGCATTTCTTCAAACATACAGGCAGCACAGATGAGGATGTCACAGACAAACCAGATTGGAAATAGCTAGACAGACCTTCATCAATGTGAAATCAGTGTGGAAATCAAACTGCATTCAACATGAAGAACAAGATACAGCGTTTGTGTCACCAAAAGACTGCAGACTTTCATCAACAACTGGTAGCATCACTCTATACCTTGAGGGTCATATAGCCTGACAGGCAACGAACCAACCATGAACCTACTGCCGCCCCCCCTCCAACTATAATATGCAGTAGGTAATAGAGGTAGATTGGACACACGCTCAGGATGCCGTTAGATGACACCACACGCTAAGTAAGCCCTCGAATGGGAATAGACGAGATAGGCTTCCATTTGGGAGGTCATGTGTGTGGGGAGAGACTAAACCTTATGAGCAATCTTGGAGACATTTGAAAAAGGTGTCAGGTGAGTGGCTAGTACAAAGTGGTCTGTATTGAAGAGGAGATAGTAAGACTGCAATGAGAGAGAGGTTCATAATGAAATAACGAATGTGTGGGATGAAACAGGTGGAGGCATATATTGAGAAAACAGATAATATCACTAATAATAAGTCCGGATAGTATAAATGGAAAATTCGATAGTATTGAGAGAATGTTTGCATGAAGGGCATAAATTATAACGAATAATAATAAGCAAAGAAAGAAAAGAAACCAAGGGGGTTAAGGAGAAGAAGTACTCTTGGTGAGAAGAGGAAGAATCATTAATGTAAGTTTGGCCATGGTAGGGACAGCGTCTGGACGTGTTCTTTTTGGATACAAAGTTCCGGTTTAGTCGATCTTGTTGCAACAGCTTCAGCTATGTGAAGGAGACGTAAGCGAACTGTACGTGATAACGACTTCGGAATTCGGTATATAACCCTGAAAGCTGTGTTGACATCGATACGATGTCCAGCATCAACCAAGTGTGACAGGATCGAGCGTTTTATGCAGTTAATTTCCCCCTGCTGAACCAAGCTGGTAAATGTTTTCGAAATTAAGTGCATAAAAAGCTCGATCCTGTCATACTTGATCGATACTGGACATCGCATCGACTTCAACACAGCTTTCAGGGTTATATACCAAATTCCGAAGTCGTTATCACGTACAGTTCGCTTACGTCTCCTACACATAGCTGAAGCTGTTGCAACAAAATCGACTAAACTGGAACTTTGTATCCAAAAATGAGAACACGTCCAGACGCTGTCCCTACCGTGGCCAACCTTGCATTCCCCTTAACCCTCTTGGTTTTTTTCTTTTTTTTTTGCTTATTATTACAATTATTACTATTATTATTATTCGTCATAATTTATGTCCTTCATGTAAATATTCTCTCAATACTATCGAATTTTTCATTTATGCTATCTGGACTTACTATTAGTGATATTATCTGTTTTCTCAATATATGCCTCCACCTGTTTCATTTCACACATTTGAAAAAGACTGAGGATAACAGAGTGAAATGCAGATTTGCTGATGAAGCATAAACCTAAATAATAACAATTATAGATACAACAATAAAAATGACAAATATACACCTCAACTTACCGACTAGCAACATCTGTTGCCACTAAGATTTGTACTTCACCCGATACAAATTTATTTAATGATTCTTTACGTTCGCTTTGTTTCATACGACCAGTTAATGCAACTGTAGAATGACCACGTTCATGGAGAAATTCTGAGACTAGTACAGTTTCATGACATCTCTTACAAAATATCATAATACGATGATGATTCTGTTGACTGGATGTATCACTGTTATCATCCGCTATAATATAAGCAGAGAGAGAAAGGGGAATTCAAGAAGAAATACTAAAGGGAAAATATAAAGGAATAAATTACAGAAACACTGAGAATAGTAATATGGGTCAGAAACCTGGTGAGTGCTTCACGAAAAGCATCCCCAACAGCTACTCCCATCACTGGCTCTATATTGAAGATCAAATGGCCAAGCAACCAGAAAGAATCAGCAACAAGGAACTCTGATAGGGAACAAACCAACAGGCGAGAACCTATTGCTCAACAAATAAGATTCCAAATAAAAAGAAAAGATGGATCGGACACATGCTGAGTAGATCGTCGACTGATATAGTGTGCCAGACTATTGTTCGAGTGGAACCCGAATGGAAAACAACAAGTTACACATTGGTCCAAGCGTAACATGTGGGAGACCAAAGACTATGGACAAGGGTGGAGCCAGCTAACAAGGACCTCAGAGAATAGGGAGAAGTGGAGAAATGCTGTTGAAGCCCTTCGTTCAAGTAGGAACACAAGGGAACAATAAGGATAATAATAAATAATACGGGGATAGTAGAGTAAAACTTCCAGATGTTATTTTGTAGGGATTTAATCAGTTTCAAATTTGGTAACAAAATGATACTAGTGAAGGCCAAGGGGTACAGGACAGCTGTTTTGTCTCGGTCAGGGACTCCTCATCAGTACACGCACACATGATCTCGTCAGGGGTCGCAAATAAATAGAAGTGACAATCAATAAGTCATTTTATTTATCCAATTGGTTGAGTGGTCAACAGTTTCACCTTGTAATTGGAAGGTCCTGAGTTCGATCTCTAATGGATGGTGGCGTAGTCATCTACTTATAAACATTCATGGATAATCCCCATTCAAGCATTAATGAAAACAAAACACGTAGATCAGCGAAGACACTCTTTTCTCTGGCGAATTCATTTTCTTAGCTGTACAATCTCAAATATATACGTATGGGTTATTTTGTATGTATGTGTACATTAAGTTTGTTAAACAAAATTACAATTGGTTATGGTTATTTTCACTAAACAGGTGAAGATTGGTAATACAAGTCAAGAAAATTAGGTGTTAATGAAATTAGGGTAGTAACAGAGGTGATGAGTTGTCACAACAAACAGTTGTTAAAAGAAGTTATGTAATTGAACACCTGGTTAACACATTCCATTTCAACAAACGCCTCCTGCTTCAAAGTATTCTACAGAGTCAAGAATAACCTATCTTAGACAATACGGTTTCGTCTTTTTGTATCGCTGAAGCTCTGGCCGTTCACATAGAAAAACTTGAGCTGTGCATACAAAAGAGGATTACTCAACCACTTCCACTGTCATGGTAACAATTTTTCTTTTGATTTGAGTTTTTTTTATTTTGATGACTTAATTTTGTTTCTTTCCCTGTTCTTTAATCGCTTATAATTCATATTTTCATTCAGAACTTTTACGTAATTTCGTATGATCTACTTTGTTTCTATGTGCATCCTGAATAAAACTCACTCATCAAACTATTCAAATTATTATTACATAACTTCTTTTAACAACTGTTTGTTGTGACAACTCATCACCTCTGTTACTACCCTAATTTCATTAACACCTAATTTTCTTGACTTGTATTACCAATCTTCACCTGTTTAGTGAAAATAACCATAACCAATTGTAATTTTGTTTAACAAACTTAATGTACACATACATACAAAATAACCCATACGTATATATTTGCGATTGTACAGCTAAGAAAATGAATTCGCCGCTGAAAAGAGATTCGTCGCTGATCTACTTACGAAGAGTTCGAAACTGGGACGAAACAACTGTTCAGTGATTTCTGTTTGGCTTTCAATGGTTATCTGTGACTGATATCAATCAATCTGTGGTAAAACTTGAACAAAGGTTTTGACAGAAACTGAGAAACGTTGAAAAATCAAAGTGTCGGTCAAGAATCGGTAAAAGTTGGAGGCGATCTTGAAATCTACATGTAGTATGGTAGAATGCCTTTCATGGTAACTCAATGGTCCAAAGTTTGATATCCCGTAGAGTCAGTCGTGTACGTGGAGTACTGAATGTTCTCAAACTGAAAAATAGCTGTCCTCTTACTTTACCTTCGTTTATGCCAGTTCTCTGAAGGCATTTCTGTTCGTCATAAAATTAATGAAGTCCGCACAACCAACTAAAACTCTTAGTGAACAGTATGATCGAGGGAAACTGTATTTATTCCCATATTTAGACGACAAAATATGTGATGGACATCTGTCAGTACTGTGGGTCCGCATTTCAATGGTAAAATGCTCATCAGCTACACAGGAGGTGAGCAGTTCAATTTCCAGCCGACGCATTTCCTAAAAAGACTTCAACCAGTTTATTTCCAGGCCACAAAACCCGGAAAGAAAAGAACAAAAGGTTGGGAGTAAGCCTGGCAGTCCAAACCTTGGGAAAACAACATCGCCATTGAAACTTAAAACGCTTTTATCCCTATGCTCCACACTTGGAATAAAGGCAATGAAAAACAGAAGTATCGGAAAGGCACAAATTTCTTAACATTCATTTCCCCAGCTTTGGATAGATTTGGACAGGAAATGCTGGGCAAAGCCGACATACCTGGATGCATATGAGCAGGTGAATTTATAGATACACATTGATGAAGTCAGCAGTGGTAGCTTATCCTTGATGGACATGTTTGTCTGTCTAGTGGTGTGTGGTGTTTGTTCACACGACCTCCAGAATCCAAAAGGATCGAATGACGTATCAACATGTTTTGACCACTGGCAAACTATGGGGACACAGTCCCTGACGCTACTCCATTACCAATGGATCGGATTTCAAGCTAAAGGCTCAGAGGGTGACCCTTTAAGACAACCATCTGCTTTTTTGGTCTGGGCAGAAAGTATTCCAGCTCTCGTAAAAACTATGCGATTTTATGTGCTGCATCTCTTGTTTAACATAATGCAAACCAGGTTTGTGTTTCAGTATTCATAGGATATTTAGATAGTTGGAGGCAATCGGCCACAGGAAGCCTTGCCTGACCTAGGTTTCGTGCTAGTTGGCACTCACCAGTTAGCAAGGCGTATCTACAACCTTGAAGGAACTCATATATATATATATATATATATATATATATATATATGTGTGTGTATGGTGATCTCTCTTTCTGGTTGCTCGCTTAGTCTGTGACTATTTCACTTTGATGAACCTGTCTCCTTTAACAATGTATATTCCCCTTATATTATATATAATATGAGTGTTTGTTGACAGTCCGTTGCTTGGTGACATATATCCATATTATATGTTTGGTTGTTGACATGTCTGCTATATTTTGCTATGTATATATGGACCTACACTTCATTATAATTAGCCATTCATGTTAAGACTGTCTATTGGTTTGTTCACACCCTTGTCTGGACATTCATATATATTTCGCTCTCACAATTTGTGTGACTTACTTGGGTGTGATACCACTTATTGCTTCTCCTTGTGTTTGGAAAATAGAAGTATCATTGCAAACCTAGTGGTCTTCTGATTTCCGCCTTCTTGCGTCAAGACTATTGAATTCTCGACCAGTACATAATAATAATTTGGCGACGAGTATATAACACTTATCACCTGTATTACCAATATTTTGTTATTATTATAATCATCGTTATTAACTTCGTTCAAAACATTTACCACATTATTATTATTTGATCCACAAAATCACCGTCATTGGTTAAAATTTTTTTATATATAAGTCTATGTTAATTAGAGTAAAGCCTGAAGAAGATCTAACTGAAAACTGCCGATGATTCCCAAACTAGGATGAAACAGCAGCTGTCCAGTACTCCCTGGTTTTCAATGGTTCTCTAACTGATATCAATCCGTGATCAACCCGGAAAACAATATTGTTCGCTTATATGTCTTGTTCTAATATTATAAATGGGGATATTTAAAGATCAAAAATATTGATTTTGTCACCATACATCAATTAATAGCCTCTTTGCAACAATATATGAGGCACGATTTTCATTCGGATTAAGTACATTTTCATGTTTTCATGTAACTTAATAACTATTTTGAGATTACCTTCTCAATAACATTCCATTAGGATGTCTCTGAGACGATAGGTGGACTTTTGTAGATACAGTGTGAAGTAGAGTTCATGAATCGTAAGTACAGGAATTGAAAATAATCGATAGATAAGGGAAAGGGATACAGCGTAGAATGTGCGCTGCTTGATAGCTGTCTAAAAATCTTTAGGCATTTAATTGCATATTCCAATGTCATCCACCTGGAAAGATATAAGCAACAAGGAACCCTGACAACCAACGAACCAATCAACTAAGAACCTATTGCCAAGCCAACAAATATGCAGAAGGAAAAAACCGAGACGGACTGGACATACATTGAGGAGACAGCTGAGTGACATCACACACCAGACAGATACCCTCGAGTAGGACCTGAATGCCAAACATTGGACTTGAGCAACACTTCCAGGGTGACCTGGAAGTGATAGTATGAAGAGGCAAAATGAAAAGGCATGGAATGCACATCGTAGAGTCAGTTAAAAAGAGGAAAGCAGAAAACCGAATGAAATCGAAATGTGCTATTGACGTCCTGCATCCCACTCGGAAATGAAGTGAATCAAAATAATAATGGTAAAATAAAAGCCCAAAATAACGTTGAATTTAAAGGTGATACCACTGCTGAGATCCTAAAGAGCCGCTTATGCAGATCACTGAGAAAAGCCGTCTTTTCGGCTGAGACCTACGGATCAGTTTTTACAGCCGACAAATGATTAATGCATGTATGAAGGATTAACTTCCGCTTTGGGTCACTTCAGTATGTGTTGATAAAATATTTATTGTTCCTGTGGAGCTACCTATATTGGCCGCACAAAGCGCACGCTTTCTAAACATTACCCAGTATGGTTAGCAAAAGGTCAATGCAAGACAGTTACTTAGTGAACTCAAGCCACACAGCTTCACCACAGTTATCTTTCAAGATTACACACAAGATAAGACAAAGTAGTACAAAGGGCATTTGTGTATGGCGGAGGCGTTGGCAATTCGTCAATACGACCCCGAACTCCGAATACAGAAAAAAGTTTGTCCAGTCTCTTATATTCTCTCATGGTCTTAACCTCTTGATTAGCCGTTCCCTTGATTTTTTTAAAATTTACATTTAGTTTAATAATAAATTCACCATAGAGTTAGAGCTATATGCTCAGAAGAAGTATTTGAAGATGAATTAAGCATTGTATATGATACCTTGATCGAAAATAGCTATCCTGAAAAATTTATCAAGAAACACATGACAAAGAAAGCGGAAAAGGGCTACTCACTATCCCTAAACAAGAAGCCTCTTTATATACGACTACAATTCAAGGGTGATATATCAAGTGAAATAATTACGAAGAAATTAAGAAAATCACTTCAAAGAACTTTTAATGCTGGCGAACTACACGTCTTATTCTCTACACCACCGATGGTGGTGATTCCTCGACTGAAAGATGAAGTACTAGCTAGCCACTTCAAATTGTATCTACCAATTCAACTGTGCTTGTGGGGCGAGTTGTGTCGGCCGTTGCTCTAGGAACTTGGTTTTTCCGTGCTCACTCGAGAACATCTCCCACTATCGTTAAGCAAAGGTGCAGTGAAAACCATTAACAGATCGATATTAGACCATCTGGTCCAAACCGGCCACAAAGCCAACGTGGGAGAATCCTTCCCTATCATCTAACGGGTACCCAATAAATTATCGAAAACATCCAGGTACCACATACTCCAAACACCAGAGGCTATCGCGATTCGTCTGAAACAACTAGTGCTTTGTGTGCAAAACAAAACAAGTCCAGCCAGCCACTACTACTGCCCAGGCTGGTCTTCAGTAGAGACTATAAATTCATGAATTTTTATTATTATCTTTCCTAATTTTTTTTGACATTCAGGTTATTTTATGTTGATGGTATTGAACTGTAATCCATTGATATTGTTATTAATATTGATTCGATGTTATTTAAACAACATTAATCCTGTTAATAACACTAATTCATTCACTGTTATATATAAATATATATATATATATATATATTATTCCACACATATCTCTTAGTTTACCATGAGACTTATAGCTTCTTTAGCAGAAATACTTGGATTAATCTACACTGAAGGTTCTAAGGGAAAAAAATGTCCACACACAAAAAGAAAACATATTTTCGCTGCCTAAAAACGGGTTTATATTAATTATCCTTAATAACATTGTAATGATTTAATCACAAACAAGGCTCAATTTCTTTAGGCTGAAAACTTTTATTAAAATAGCTGCACTCTTCATTTGACACTGAAGACTGGACGATTAGTCATCAAGTGAATACTGCAATCAGAGACTTTACTAGCCTGAATAGCTCAGTGGTAACGTCTATGACTGTAGTACTCACTAGGTGATATGGATTCGAATCTCAGAAGGGACATGAGTTCCTTCGAGGTGGTTGCAGATACATCGCCTTGCTGACTGACTGGTGAGTGCCAACTAGCACGAAACCTAAGGTCAGGTAAGGCTTCCTGCGACCGATTGCCTCCAACCATCTAATAACAACAATTCACACTGCATTGTAATGGCAAGCCACATTTCAAGCTTGACTGGAAATCGAATTCAGTCTGCACCGAAGATAGGACTTGACACATACATTACACTAGTTACTGACTAGTGTGCAATCAAAAATATATACACCGCTTACCAACAATAATGTGATGTTTTCTCCAGGCTAACTTTAAAGCTTGATCAACAATATCTTCACCACCAACAAGTCGAATAACTTGTAAGCGGAGTTCCATTTCATCGCCCTTATACTGTCCTAAGTGTTCTGCTTCACTGGCCAACTGTTGAGCTAATTCTCGTGTTGGTGCCAGTATAAGTGCGAAACCAACCGGCTGGCCTGATTTGATCCAGTGCTGTGTAAGTTGAAGAGAATAAAAATGTGGGCAGAATTATTATTATTGTTGATTGATCGGTAAATTGAATGGCTAAATGACTAGCTGAGTTATAATGTAGGACTCCGCACAAAAAGTACACCAGTTCAATTGGTTATATTCTATATATAGCACACAAAGTTAGAGGAGAGGGGGTTTAATAAATCCTAGAGACTCCAAAGAGGAAATATACCTGCGCCAATGAAAACGATTTGCAGCCATATTACCAACAGCTTGTAGACATTAGTTCTTAGCATCTCGACGATCCCAGACACTTAGTCAGCACATTCTTACGTGGTTCAAACCAGCTGCCAAAGTCTTAATGGATTTGTGGTGGTGTGATACAGACAATGTATCCCAACAGAATGCTATTTCTAACATGTTCCCACAGTTCAATACGGACGGCATTAGCAACAAAATACGATATATCTGTTTGAACATTCTATTTGATGCGTTACAGACAGAATACATTTCCCACGGTTACATATTGCATTTTTTTTCTTCACGTTCTCAGTGGAACATAGGGCCTCAGGCTAGTGGCTTGAAGTTTCTGTAGCAGTGTTTAATTTTACACGATGGGGTTGATAGCCACCTCAGGCCCAACCTTACCTCTTTACCAGCATTATTTCTGGCTTAGTGAGGTAAAGGAGTGCGTGGTCGGCGAGCGTCCTAACCGCTTTGCCACCGACGCACGTATATATTGCATTAACAAAAGAATACTGTGTATATGTATTTGAACATTCTATTTCATGTTGCTTGATGCAAACCGAAATCACACGCTCAGTGATTGGTTAAAGGATATAAACTGTAGATATATAAACAGTGGTTTGATTAATGAAAAATATAATTTGGCTTCCCTGTCTTGCCTTCTATTGTTACAGAGTGATGTTTTATTGATAGTGTGGTGAGAGCTGTCTTTGCAAGACACAATTGTAGACAACATCTGACCGTCAATGTTTACGTCCCGAATCGGTGTCATGAGAAAAAAGCAATAACAAAGCTTAGCCTTGAGGAACTCACATCAACCAATCATAGTAGACTTAAAGTGGGCTGATACGATTAGCAGATATATCACCGAACTGTCTAAGAAACGCCCACAAAGAGATGACAGAATAACCTTCAACAAGAAAACCACCAATCAGAAGGTGTTGTTTCTTCGCTAACAATAAGGAGTAGTAATGTACATAAAAATCTATAAATATCTGTTGATTTTCTCAATAAACGATATGTTGCCTACCTGGCCTTGTCTTCTGTCGTTACAATAGTACTGTAACTCTTTTCCAACCTAATCCAATGTCAACTAATATTTCCTGTGACATGGATGGCGATGGCTCAGCAGGCGTAATGCATCTCCTGGACATCATATATCGATTTACCTTCGCAACCTCAACGACTAATTTTCTTGTCTTACCTAACACTCCATGTGTAACTTCAGTACTACTCCCTACAAAATATGTATTTAGCTACTCGTTTCCCGAATAAACACTTTGTTTCGTCTTTCAGCTGAGGGCACATCAGCTTCATAACTACCTGTTTCCTATGTCTGTTCACTGTAGGCATAAACACACATCATAGAGCGTGATCGCAGTACCGGCTAACTGGTGAAATAAGAACAAATCGTTAAGTACATATCAGGTCACTCCGAAAAATCCCTCGACAACTATGGGTTTAAAAATGACTTGAAATTACTGCAAGTATGCTTACTATGATTTGTTTCAATTAAATGTACGGTTTTTCAAGTATTGGTTTGTAGGGATTTTGATTGATTGGTTACAGGATTTCATCATGAGCTGACATCAGTTAGAGAACCATTGGAAACCACCATGAAGTACTGGACAGCTGTTCCGATCTGGCTTGGGACTCTTCATCAGTACGCACACACCACAGCGGGGTTCGAATCCAGGACCTTCTGGTACAAGGCGACCTCGCAGACCATTAAGCCACTGGGACCCGATCCAATGATAAGCCCATGAATTCCAACTTCTGCCAATTCACGACAGAACGCGACCGCTAGCCAATGTCATAGCTGGCAAGTATTTGTTCTCACACCCACCCAACCTGCTGTACCCTACTGGTCACGACTTCCCACTACTAGAACCCCAGGTAACTATCTACCTGTTTTATTTAGGATATCTACTCTTTCGAAGTTTTAGTTTTCAGAATAGGCAGTACTATCGTTTGGAGTAATATTTCTTACAATGTCAGTGTATTAGCATAAATTGCTTCAACCGATTTAGTTTCGAGAAACCGGCTTACACAATCGAGCAAAAAATAGACAATATCACTCAGGCTTTCTAGGATTTTTAATGAAATCAATAATACTGAAACAACTTAGGGATGAGTTATACCATCCATACGGCTTTAGGAATGCTCTACTAAGGTTTACGGATGAAGTAGTTATGTTTCCAAAATATTCTGAAATACAAAGTGACGCGAGCTTTACACTTCTTATACTTCTTGACCTAAACCAGAATGATGGATTCCAATTGAGTGCATAGAAAGAAAGTCAATGGTTTACTGCTGCTAGATCATCCGTCTGCCGTACACATGGCTGAGGTTCGATTCCCAGTCGACAAAATCTTAAACACCACTTGTAAGCATGGAAGGTTTGACGTGGGGCTGATAATTCCATCCAAAAAAAGAAACACAGGAGCTACTGGAACTCCAAGTCATCAGCTTGAAGCCGTTTGTTCCCCTTAGAACGCGAAGGAATGACGAAAATTTGTATAAACCCAAAATAGTGTCAGCGGATATTTTCGCCAGACGCTGACTGTTAAGATTTTTTTAATCAGTTTTTGTACATAATGATAATTATAGAACACAATTTAAGCAAGAAAATACGTTTGCATTTTCGGCAAATTCTTATAAGGCTTACTACATTTACATAATGCTGCAATATTAGTCATAGGCATTTGAATTAATGTGCTTAATAAATTAGAGGATGTGAATTAGTGAATAACGATCAAGACGATCATAATAATAACAAAGATCAATTCATTCAAGTGTTTATATTATTTTTTTATTTTTGATTACAGCTTGACTCCGCACCGTATTTTCGGTACAAGTACGGAATTTTCAGCATGGATATCGGTGGCCCAAATTTCTCAGGCCGACCATTGATATCAGGTGTGCGTCAGCAGGGGATCGAACCCCAGACCATGTGCATGGTCGGCGAGAGTTTTAACCACTGTGCCACCGACGCACAGTGAGCGCTTAGGTAGAATGTGTATACTAGTAGGGGTAAGGGGGGTGAAATAACCGTTGTCACATAGTGATAATATAATAATAATAACAAACAGTGAAACCGGAAATAAAATGTACAGCTAAAGCACAGCATGATATTGATAATACAGTTAGCCTCACAAATAAAATAATATTTATAGTTATCCGGTGTCACCAGGAGAGATAACTATTTTATGTTGGGGGTGAAGACCAAGAGAGGGAGAGAGATTGAACAAACACTTCCTGAACATAGATTGGGTTGAAAAACCATTATGGCAACTCCCTCAGCTATTCTTAGCAACCGAAGACGTACCAACCTAGGAGGGAGTTGAGGTTTCACCCTGCTTAGAATTCTAAAGGCTGCATTGTTGTCAGTCTTGTGCTCCGTATCCGATAGGTATGCCAGTATGGAACTTGACTTTACGACTCCTCTGCCTGATCAGGTTGCACAGTGCTTCAGAAGGCGATGGTGGGTGTCCATATGAACAGTTAAATTTATAAATACACAGTGAATTAGCCAGACTCAGTGGCTTATCCCTCACCTGCATTGGAATTATACAACGAGTGGCGTGTTCAGAAAAAGTTTATTCAATGCCTCTCATTCCCTTGGTTTTCACCGCAAACCTAAAATAGTTATCCCTCCTGGTGACACCGGATAACTGTAAATATTACCTTATTACTTTTATTTCATATTTTATTTGTAATGTTAACTGTATTGTCAATATAATGCTGTACTGTAATTGTACATCTGAATCTCGATTTCTGTCTGTTTTCGAAATAGAACTTTGCACGAATGTGTAGCAGTTCAATTCGCCACACCGCATGTAGCACAGAAAGCAAGAGAAGAAAGTAGAAGAAATGTATAACAGAGACTCCATTATGGGTAAATTTTTGTTTTGATGAAGTCTCACAGTGTTATACAGTAATATTTACTGATGACGTTTCGACCACAATTTATTGCTCATACTCATATCAAGGTGATTACACTCTACCACAGTGCACAAGTTTTATTCTTATATCAGCATGACAGAAACAGTAGACAGAGATATGAGGCAAAGGAATAGTAATAATGAAGAACAATATAGTTTCATTTGAAATTACAAGTCACAAGGAAAGGATGCATCTACGCCAGTCATGAAGAACGATTTTGAGCCATATAACCGATTGTCTCCAGCCTTTATAGGTTTTTACCGTCCCGAGAACCTCAACCAGTCAAGAGGTCTACACCTCCCTACGTAGCTGGGTGGCTGGCTTAAGCTAACTGTTGTGGATTTCATTGACTGATGAAGCCATGTTTTGGTTTGACCACCGCTCACTAACCCTTTTCCACACTGACCCTATGTCAGCTAACACTTCCCGTGAAGGAAGGCGGCGGCTAGGTATGCATGCATAACACATGTCCTAACCATCTCAATCGATGTAACTTCACAGCCTCGTCGATTGATTTCCCCTCCCACCTACCTAGCACTCGACGCCTAACCTCAATATTGCTCACCCTATTAAGCCACTTCACACAGGAGATAGAATGCGGGCATCTATGGTCAAAGACAGCTAGCCAGTGTTTTCATGTCTTCCACTCTCAATGGCCATCTCTCGCTCACAGCCATAATGTAGGACGGAGCGGAGTGATGAGCAGTACGCCCACCCTTTGGTCGATAACCAGCCGGATATCACATCTACGCCAGAGACAACGTAAACTGGCATATGCGAAACTAACTCTCTATTTCTAAACTAGGAGTTAGTGTAGTCCAGTTCTGTAACATCATCTTACATTTCACAGAGAGGAGCGAATCGCATTTGTAGATGACAGCTCAAGGTGTTCAGAAGACTCTGCACTTTGTCAGCGTCCTCGCCTAGAAGGACTATATCGTCCGCATATTCTAAGTCAACGAGATGATTTTCTGTCGGTAGCAAGTCAATCCCTGAGTCTCTGAAGTGAGTTAGGGTTAAATCCATCGGTACATCTATGATGAAATTGAATAGAAACGGGGATAATGGGCATCCTTGACGGACACCATTAGTCGTCACCACTTCAGATGACAACTCGCCATAAGCCCTCAGCTGGCTAGCTGCATGAGTTCGAGTAGAGTGCCTTGATCAGTGCAATGTATTTCCTCGGAATTCCCTTTACAGCCAAGCATCGCCAGAGTACCTCTCGATCGACAGAATCGAATGCCACCTTTAGGTCAAGAAATATAACGATTGTTGGACGCCCGTAAGAATGGCTTTGTTCTAGAATCTGTCGAAGGGTGAAGCGAGATATGATCAATACACCTTCTTCCTGGTCTAAAGCCTGCCTGGCTCTCTCGTGTTTGTGCCTCCCGAGCACCACTTAGTCTACGCCTGATTACTAAGCCTAGGACTTTAAATACTATATCAGTCAAGCTAGTCCCTCTGTGATTATCACAGGAAGACTTCTCTCCCTTCTTGTAAAGGGGGATAATCAGTGACTTACACCAACCCAATGGAACTTCATCTGATTCCTCTGATCTCACCATTACCTAGATTATATAAACACTTGAATGAATTGATCTTTGTTATTATTATGATCGTCTTGATCGTTATTCACTAATTCACATCCTCTAATTTATTAAGCACATTAATTCAAATGCCTATGACTAATATTGCAGCATTATGTAAATGTAGTAAGCCTTATAAGAATTTGCCGAAAATGCAAACGTATTTTCTTGCTTAAATTGTGTTCTATAATTATCATTATGGGAATTTTTAAATTATACAATTATAAAGAACAGCAATTGATAAACTAAGACTTCTAGCTCACATACTCTTTACTTTTCTACCTACCACAAATAATGTTAGATAGTTAGTGTGCGATAACTAGTTAAATCCACATAGAAAAGGACACCTTAATGGCCCAAAATGTGAACATAAAATAAGAAAAGTAGAAATGGATGTCAGCCATTCTAATCAGTAACAAAATTTAAATACAGTTCACCCGTGGAGATGTCGTGCATGTACCCCAATGAAAAAGGAAATATTCACAAACAGACATGTGGACAAGCCAGACTAAAGTTTCGCATGTCATGATGATGTCTTTGATTACGATTCATGTAAGAAGAATCAACCATTTTATGCAAATGTATCGGGGGGAGGGTGTGTACGGACATATTAGCGCCACAAAATTTTATTTAACGGAGGTTGTACATCTTACTTACTTACTTGAATTATCGGGAGAAGAAATGCACCTGTTTTACCAGAGCCTGTCTCTGCAATTCCAACAATATCCTTCCCTATGAAAGTAAAACAAAAAACATCGAGATGGAGTCAATTGTCACCAAACCAAATACAAAAAGTAAATTTACTTTCTCATAAACAACAATGTATTCATAATTGAAAAGAATGATGTAATTTGTGAAATAGGATGCAGTATCAGACAGTAATGTATTTCGGCGGCTCGGTGGGAGAACACTTGCCAATCACACATGTGGTCGAGGGTCAGTTCCTCGGTCGACACACTCCTTAACCTTACTTAACAGGTTTCAAGCTTGGTAGAGAGGGGAGGTTGGGGCTGTGAAGCTAACAAACCAACCCTATGGAAAACATCGCTGCTACAGAAACTTCGGAGATGAAGCTTGAAGCGCCAACTTCCCTATTTGAAAAGCAAAGAAACAAGTTTCCCGCTACTTTTTCAACACACTATTCCTCAATGTCTACAGAGTTTCTTTTGAAGGTAGCTTTCCACAACTAAGAGGAGAATTTCTACAGTGTGAAACTTTGAACAGAGCTAAAAAGAATGCTAGATGAATTTGTAGGTGGTGAGTTATTCATTTTTTTTTTGTTTTGAAGCTTCCAATGGACACCAATGTGATAAAATTATTTTATTTGTTTAAATGTAATAGGTGCTGAAGGGCTGCACAAGAATAGACGGGTTACCAGATGCCAAATGACTGCATTGGTACACAAAAATTCTGAACTCAATACACTCGATACAAAGTCAAATCAAGAGACAAACAATTTACCCAACCAATATAATAAAAATAGCTGTGACCGCAAGGATATTTATTATTATTTCGTTCCTAGAGGAACATAGGACTTCAGCCGCGCGTCTCCATTGCATTCGGTTCTCTGCTAGAGTTTTCACCTGGCTCCAAGTCTGCCCAAATGCTTTCATCTCCTCTTCATATCACCAGCTCCAAGTCACTTTTGGACGACCACCTCGCCACTTCCTGTTCGGGTTCCACTCAAGCAATGGCCTGTCGTGTGATGTCACTTGATGGTTTGTTTCCTCAGAGTATGGCCACAATCCAATCCATCTCTATTCCTCCCTGCCTATTTGTTTCACAATCGATTCCTGCTGTGTTGGTTCGCTCATTGCTAGAGATCCCTATTGCTGATCTTTTCTGGCCATCTGATCTTGAGCATTGAGCGAAGACAACTAACTGTTGATGAAGGTTTGTAGTTTGTTTGAGATTCTCTTTATGAAACACTGGCCAAGTCTCTGATCCGTATAGTAGCCCTGACTGACTTCACATTGGAGTTGAAAACCCGGACCTTATTTTTGATGCTGAGTGCTGTTGACCTCCACACAAACTTGATGAGAGTAATGAAAGCTTGTCTTGCTTTTCCGGTCCTCGCTGCTTTGATATCCTCGTTAGTTCTACCTGTAGTTGAAACGATGCTTCCCTGGTAGGTCTGTAGGCAAAGGAGGTTGTTTCTTTCAGGTTCCTCCCATTTATGCTGGCTGATTGTTGTCTGTTGTTGTTACTGTTGGTGTTGGCCAGGAATCTTCATCACCTACCTGTTTTATCTATGTTCACCTGAAGTCGTATCTTCTCTGGATGCTTCTTCTGCCAACTTGTTGCTTTTCACCGTTTGCATACCTTCCAGTTTGTGGGAAATCAGACATATATCATCGGCGGAATCCAGATCCTCAAAGTGTTTTTTGTGTGGGTCCATTTTATGCCTGTTTCCTAATTGCCCGCTGTCTGTCGCATTATCCAATCTACTGCAATCAGGAAAGCCATTGGTGATAGTAGGTAGTCTTAAAAAGATATTTGCAAAGTGTATATTGTCCTCCTTTTCTAGTAATCTTTTGCAGATTTTCAGATCCTCGACTAATCCATCTGTATACAGGTTAAGAACACCGCCTCATCACAACAAAGAAGTGATTTGAAAATCTATACTCTCAACTATACTAATATAAATAGGGCCGTCTTCGCTAGTAGAAGTCCATCCCGTATAAATAAACACCACTGCTACAGAAACTTCAAGCCTCTAGTTTGAAGCCCTATGTTCCATTGGGACGTAAAGGAATAAAAAACAGCACGCCGTTATGTGCTCTGAAATGATATCTTTCAGCTAACCTATCTGCTTGGAAAAGCGAAAACTCCACAACTGGTACAGAAGCATTTGACCACAACTAATGACATCTTGCATTATTTCAATGTCTACTTTATTACTGTGCCTCATGGTAGGGAATCTGAAAAAATGGGAGGGTTATCCCTTTAACCTAAAACGACATGGAACCTCATGAATAAAATCGACGATTTGAGGAGAACAATCATACATAATTAGTGATGATGAATAAGCCAGGCAGTTTTAGGGGATAACTGCGATACACACACACAGTTTCCTGAAGAGAGAGAGAGCATCAAACAACATGTTCCAATAATTCCAACACTTTGCAATTAATAGTGTTCCCTGAGCTGGTTGGTTTAGTTGCGGAGCTTTCGTCATCCTTCTGGATACCATCTCCTTTCAGCGCAATATTTAGCATAAAGTGAAATGATTTAAATTTCCTCATGAGTGATATAATTGCGTCTCCCGGTAACCATCTTTACATATGTATTGACCATTTTCTATTGACTTGGATTTTAGACTTTCTAGTCACATGATTTACTTTTCATTAGTTGGTATATTTGGTCTATATTAACGTGTTTGTTAATTGCATATTCGATTGAGTACTAGGCTTCTAAAATTCCCTGGCACTTTTGGTGTTTCATCAAAGTGTTTAAAATCGAATAACACACCAACGAGGAACCATCATCAAACACCACAAGAAAATTCATCCTACCATACATGAGAAATATCTCTGAAATAACAGCTAGAATACTGAAACCGTTTGATATAGATATAGCACACAAGCCAGTCAAATCACTTAATTCGATATTATGCAAACCGAAAAATCCAACAGAAAAAGGAGATTAATACCATTTACAAAATAAATTGTATGAACTGTAACAGGTGTTACATCGGCCAAAGTGGGCGTCCCCTTCGAATCAGAATCCAAGACACAAATCAGCAGTGAAAAGACAAGACATATATTCTTTCATATCAACGCACACAGACAATTATGGACATCAATTTGATCGGGATAATGTCAAAATCTTAGACAGAGGAAACACTTAAAGCAATGCAAGGAATTCCTAGAAGCCTAGTACTCAATCGAATATGCAATTAACAAACACGTTAATATAGACCAAATATACCAACTAATAAAAAGTAAATCATGTGACTAGAAAGTCTAAAATCCAAGTCAATAGAAAATGGTCAATATATGTAAAGATGGTTACCGGGAGACGCAATTATATCACTCATGAGGAAATTTAAATCATTTCACTTTATGCTAAATATTGCGCTGAAAGGAGATGTTGTCCAGAAGGATGACGAAAGCTCCGCAACTAAACCAACCAGCTCAGGGAACACTATTAATTGCAAATCATCCACCTGAGCCACAAATCTTCTCTATTATCCCAACACTGTAATTCTTGTTAGACTAATTTGGCCAATACGGAGCAATTTTCAAGTGGTGAACACTAAGTGCTATAAGCAAAAAAGTAGGAAGCAACTTATGGCAAAACCCAAAATACCTAAATATAAATCTTGAAAATCATGCTAAAGCAACTTGTGATATCACTTATAAAAATGAGACGTCTTAGTCAGTTAGAATTCATTAGCCTGGGACAGTTTCCTATGCACCATGTTATGGGTGACAATTTAAATGAGATACTAATTAAATAGGCTGAGCCAAATTAAATCCTGAACCCAAAAGCTGAAAATGAGATTTTTAAGGCTAATCAGTAATATTAGTAGTCTTACTAATCACATTTTTCTTCTTAGCATATAGTGGTGTATAGTGAAGCTACAAGCAGTATGATCATTTTACAATATACTTCACTGTGAGACATTGATTTTGCCAACAGCGATTGCCAATAACCACGCTGACACTGCAAACCTTTACTTTTCCAAAAGTCACCAAATAAGATACCATCATGTACAGAAAACGAAGTAAGCTAACAGATAAATACTTTAGAACAAACCTTCGAGAGCAGGGGGTATTGCTGCTGACTGTATTTGTGTGGGATATAACCACTTGACTCGTTCACATACTGAACATAACTCAGGAATCAAACCAAGATCACTAAAACCCATGATAATTATTAATCACATAAGGCTTCGGGCCAAGCTGAAAGGCAAGCTGGGAGAATGAAGCTTCAAGGAAATCCTTCGCAAAACCGAGAGTTAGAGTCTACTTAAACACTAGAATCTGAAAGAATGGAAAAAGCAAAAAATACACAGTCGCTTTTACATACACATAAAAAATAGAAAAACTGAGTGTCCAAGTATGACAGCATAAAACCATATGGGCCAAGTTACACTTTAAGCACCTGTAAGTACCAGTGAAGTACTACCTCACCTACGACCTAAAAATACTCAGTGAGCAAGTGATTGAGACCTGGCAAATAATATTGTAATCATAAATAAAACATGCTTAGTGAAGTGTTATGTTATTTAATGCATTATCCGATAATGTTCAGATTAGGTTTGGGAAGGAATTAGCTAAGATTTTAGCTAAGGGAAGGTTATTGTTGGTTCATCCTGGTAGGGCAACATTAGATTAAGGTTAGTTTAAGGTTATTTTCACCTTAGAGTAAGGTTAAGGAAAGATTAGGGTTAGGGTTAGAAGATCTAGGTGATTACAAGCACTGAACATGGTTAAATTACTCCGCTGATGTTCAAATCCAAAAGTGAGAAGTATTTTGCTGCACATCAGATATGTGTATTTTGTGTAAGCTTTACCCCTTTTAATCCAATATTTCGAAGAATATATGTGTATTTAACGCAAAAATCGAACTTACCATGTGGTTGGTGTGCTCAAGGTTATTTTTCGTTAGTACTTACTGGAGCTTGAAGTTAAACTCTGTCTAATATGGAAACAAACCACGCAAACAATGCACCGGTGGCACAGCGGTTAGGGCTCTCGCCGACCATGAACAAGGTCCGGGGTTCAATCCCCTGCCGACGCACACCTGATATCAATTGTCAGCCTGTAAAATTTGGACTACCGATATTAAATGCTGAAAATTCCATAACTGTACCCAAAAAATGGGGTGGAGTCAAGCTATAATCAAAAAAGAAAAAGAAAAGTCCGCAAAACACCCACATGTGACGTAACGCAGAACACTACAATGCGCGCCAGGTCCAATATCCAATATCTTTTTTACAGGCTAATATAAACTAATTTGATTTCTCTGTCTTCGCCTCTTGATTGTGAGGTATATGTTCCTGATTTTCCGCAAACTTCTACGTAGCTTGTTCCGCCACTCGACTGCCGTAGCTTTGGTTGACTCCGAAAGGAGTAGTGCTGGGATTAATTATGTGTGGTTTGTAGTATGAGGTGTGTTACGACTGTTACTACTATGAATGGAGTTGAACCTTTCACCAGTAAGTCCTCCGGTATCTTCGTCAAAAGAAAAGAGAAAAAAATAGATATAATTAATGAAGTTATTCAGACTAACAGACAGAAACAGAAATAAGAAAACGTAACAACAGTTAGCTGATTAAATTTGAAGAATAATTTGAATTAAATATATTTATATCGGTAATAATGATAATAATAGGTGCAGTTAAAGTTGTCAGAAGAGTAAGACGGGAGAGAATGTAAAGAAGTAAAACGAAAAGTTTCATTATCTACCCCTGAATGGTACATGGAATTTTAAGGGGATAGGCCATTTGGATGCAGTCCTTGTGTCGCTGCATGATTGTCCAGTCTTCGCTTAAAGGCGTCCACAGACGGTGCCATAGGTACATCTGCCGGTAAGGGATTCCAGGGACGGCGAATCCGCAATGAATAGAAGTTGGAGCGCACCCGAATCCTTGCCTAAAGTTCAGATTTAGATTTATTAATTGAGGATAGAAGGATTGAAGTCCATGTTAATCCTCTTCCAGTAAATTTCTGTGCTTGTCTAAACCTCTCTTCAATGAACAGTTGATGCTGCAGACACCCCTTGTTCGAGGAGTCCGTTTCAGGAGTTTATGACTCTGTGTGAGAACCAATATCCCACAGCAATATAATTTCTTCTCGGATTTTGAACTCTTCCGCTATGTCGTCCAAAGTGTTCCGACCTGGTGGAAAGGAAAGGAGAGAATAGACGCGGTCTGTAATCGTTAAATAAAATCCTAAACAATGTAATTAAATCTCCCTCCTGCCTACAGTATGATAGGGGGAAGAGATTTAAACTGTGTAATCTTTCCTCGTGTGACTAATTAGTCATGCCCATAATCATACGCATCGCATTCCATTGAACCCTTTCTAGAATGTGCGAGTCCCCTTTAAGACAAGGAGTGGCTACCTGAATACATTTTTCCGATACTAACTTCATCATATATGGATATAAGGAGGTTAGCATATCTCTGGTGATTCTAGTAAAGGCCTTGCGAATTGCCTATAAGGATCTGAAACTACGTGCAGCCACCACGCGATATTGTGCTGTAGTTTTTAAATTGTGGCTAACTATGAAGCTTAAACCAAATGAGTCCAAAATGATGGGAGCGAAATTCCCGCTAGTTCGTAGGGAGTTGTGTTTATGTGTCCAGTGAGCATGGTTGCACTTTTCACTGCATTGATCGGAAGTATCCATTCTCTGGACCACTCCGGCGATTTGTTGAGGTCTTCTTGCAGAGTGAGCTTATCACTGCCACCCTTCGGCTCTCTGCAAATTTTCAAGTCATCTGCATAAAGGACCATTGAGGAACCTGTGAGCACAGATAACTGATTGGTGAACAAATAATTAAGAGAGACCCAAGTACTGTGTCTTTTGGCACTCTGCTGAGTACTTCCGTCCAGGAGGAGAGTTTCGAGTTGATTCTAACCGTCAGCCTACTACCTATGGGGAATTCCCTAATCCAGCTAAATAATCTGCCTCTGACACCACTCGTTTCCAACTGCATGAATGGTCTTTTGTGGGGAAGGCTTTGCTGAAGTCTATGAAGACGACGTCAACGAGTCTTCCATTGTCCCCTCACTTGGCCTAGCTTTCTCTTGCCGTGAGAAAACTCGATGGTCAAGACAGATTTTCTCGGGAGCAACGTTGTGCTCCTGGAAACAAATTGTTGTTTTCCGAATATACCATAGTACTTTTCGTTGTTGTTGTTTGAGAGCCGAATTAAAACGTTTTATATAAATAGGCAGTCTCCGTTCTAAAAGCAATGTAGCGTAGACTACATTTTTTCTACCGACATTTCGTCAGTGTTTTTATCAAAGGCAGAAATCTTAATGGCGTCTAATTGGCTATATTTAAATCTACTTTATGTTTTTGCAAGATTAAGAAATGATGAGTTAAAGTCACCGAAAGAAGTGATCCAACTGAATTCCATGGTTGATAGCATGCGGAATACCTGAAGTAATTATGATTTTTGTGGTCGGAGATCCATATAGAGAGTTAACCAAGAACCATGCAATTTGTAGAAAGATGCCATTAAATTGGTCCACAGTTTTTGCCATGCCTCGTAAAATCGGTTTCATTAGAAATTAACTTGGGAATTTAGGAATAACTCACTACTAACCACATATGTATTTTGCTCTATCTGAGCAGTTCCACGGTGTCAATACATTTTGATGTAGTTAGCATTGGACTACATACAAGTTAGCATCAAAACTAAAATTTGAAGTATTTAGTTGGAGCACATTCTGAAGAACTCCAGGAACGCACAGCCACAGTCCCTTAAAACGAACAATCTACTTACCTATATACAAGGCTGTTTTGGCCATCAATCTCCGTGACCTGCCCTCCTTTCTCAAAGTAGTAATCGTCGTATATCTAAATCAGGTGAAACGAATCAATTCATATGGAAACATATGAGTGCGTAAAGATAGCTTCTAGCTAATGCTTTTAGAGCTTTGAAAAGAGTTAGTGGTACTGCCTCTGAATTCCAGTAGTTATGCATCTGACGACCGATATATGACCTTACCTAGTTTACCACCTCGCTAGTTTTCTAGCCTGTCCCAAACCTGAGAAAAGAAGGTGGGTTTGGCATGGGACTAGCAACCCAGCCCTTGAAAAACAATTTAAATCCTATAGAAGCACATAAAAACATTCAAGTTATTAACAGAAAACTTATTCTTCATTGGAATCGGAGAGGCAAAATGACACAGCATGCTGGTGAAAGCCTTCAGAAAGAAAGTCAGCCAATGTCTTCTCTCCATGAAGACAGGAATAAGAATCAAGACTTATAAATGTCCGTATAATGCACGAGTCTGGGAAGGCCGCCCAGGTAGCCAAAGAAGTGAGAATATGTAGCAGAGAAGTGCTAGGAATCTGTGAGAGCAGATGGATTGGATGTGCACCATCACAACTGTTAACTGGATAGACAGTAATCTACTCCCAGACGACAGCCATGAGCACACCGAGGCAGTGAGTAACCATCATGATGTCGCCAGTGGCAGACGGAGCCCTAATGTAGTGAGAACCAATCTCCTCCATGATTGTGATAGCATGATTCAACTCAAAAAGAAGTAGGGTTACAGTTATCAAATGCTACAGACAATGGTACAAAGACCCCGAAGATTTCTACAGATGTCCACAAACGGTAGTGGACAACATCCAAAATGACGACCTCAAAATCCCTGCAGGCGATATGGAAGCCTAACTGGGAGCAGACAGTACAGAAAGAGAATCCGTTTTAGGTTGGGGAGGCGACAGGAGAAGTTGGTGAGAACGGAGAACTCTTTACAGACTTCTGCGTGTTCAGTTATTTGGAGGTTAGAGATAGCCTGTACAAACACAAGGTTATACACGGAGTAACATGGGTCTCAACTGACGGTCACACCAAAAACTAGATAGACTTCATCTAAAGGAAGTGAAGACAGCCAATCTTTTGGACACAAAGCCAGGAAGGGGAGCAGATGTGGGCTCAGATCATCACATACTTCAAGCAACCTTCAAGCTCAAACTGAAAAACTACAGATCAAATCAGAACAAAGTCGGAGGTGATAAGAGTTATCGACTAGGAGACCTGCGGAGGACACTGGAGCTCTCCGAAGGGGATATCCAAGGAAACGTATACAGCCATTATAGGAAGAAAGAAGACAGGAGACAAGGAATGGCTCTCAGGGGACACCTCCCTAGAAGTTAATGGAAAGGAGGATGATG